TGATCATTTTGAGGCTCTTTGAATCACATTACGGGGTGCGAAACAAATTTTCATTGGTCCATTGGAAAGAGGACAATATTTCCATATTTCGAAATACCCAATTAACCCTAAAGAAATTTAAGGTATTTTAATAATCTACTGAAATATCGAAGTTAACGCATTGACTGCCATAGTATTATATTATGCTTTATTATTTTAAGTTTGTTTTTTAATTCAAAACAACGTCTAGTTAGCTACGACGTCCAAAATTTCTAGTCGACGATATCCACTGTATTTTAATTATTCTAAACATTCGAAGTGACAATCGCATCAATCTCCGGTCACAGGTGACCAAAATCTCCAGTCGACGATACTCACTCTATTTTAATTACTCGAAACATTCAAGACCAACGTGGCAGTGAACGGCGTTAAAATATCACAGTCTCACCCCCCATTCGAAAGCCACGATTTCCACGAGATTTTCCATATACTTTCCCCCCGCATAATTTTCCCGTCGTCTGAGTCGTGCTCGTTCAGAATCGCAAATGGCGGTGAAATTACACGGCGGAGGATAATGGGAGAGCGGTTGTTGAGGAGAGCAGGAGAGCTGGGGGTGTGAGAGATCGAGAGAAAGAGAGTCGAGGGTTTTCAGGTACTACGGGATTAGGAGTAGGCGTCGGCCTCGGGGTGCAAGCGGCTCTTCCTCCACCAGGTGCCGGAACGACGATTATGACCACGATGACCACGATGACTACCATGACGTCGATGACGACGCGTCCTGGAATCGGTGGCACACAGTGCCGTCAGCCGCCTGCGTACAAAGTGGCAGCACAGATGGCAAGGTTGCACAGGCTTGGCCGTGCTCACAGCCACGAGGGTGTTACCTACAGGAACGACCATGAAGATGGTACAAAAAGCAAACACAATCGCTACCTACAAATACAATCTACTACTCTACTACCACGTTTTTCTCTAGACGTTCTATTATTATTACATATACTTTTTTTTTTTCGAATTTGATCGTCCTCTCCGAGGCTTGTTGCGCCGTTTCCCTGTCACGATCGATCCTGATGGCAATGATACACGAGATTTACGGTTAGGTGGTTTTCGAATTTCCAAAGAATTTTTTATCGGTGTTGTATTTTTTGGGATAACATAACAAGCGTAGTGTTGATATTGTTGGAGTAGAGGTATGCAGAATAAATTAGCGTTTGGATGATGAAGAGGTTCAGAAGAGTAGCTGATATTTTTTTGGAAGATTGAGAGATTTTTTAAAGAAGAGCTGCTTTGTACACGTGGAAACGAGGGATTTCTTTATGAGATGTGATTATCTTTTTTTTTTTTTTTTAACGACGAGGTTCGATGGACAGTGTTTTAATGTATATTTTTATTTATTAAAATAATAGTTACGAAATATGTTTAGAATATTAATTTTGAGTACTACTGATAGTATCAACACTTCTACTGCCGGCACCAAGTATTGTAGTATCTAAATTTGGATATTATATGAAATGTTCGAAGACGAAAGATTGGTATCGAGAGAAAAAACGTATCATTCCCGTCACAGACAATCGACAATGCACGGTGAAAAATGTTAATTGCAATCTTCGATTTTATCAGCATTTCGCTTATTTGCCGCGCAACATTGATCGATCTTTTTCGATGCATTATCGCTTCCACCTTTTCAGACATGACGCACTCTGGTATTGGATTTCCATTTAACATTTATGAATCGATAAGTGGAATTACATTTGTAATTAAATGCGATTACACAGGAGTAAATAATTTCACGCAAAATTTATACGTTTAAATCGTTCAATTTACTGATCAATTTACACATCAGTATTACTCCGAAATATCATATTTTCCAAAAAATCAGCATTATTTATTAAAGCTTCTACGAAGAAATATACTTCAGAAATTTCATTTTTATTTTCCTAGAAATTTACCTTAAAAAAAGAAATTACAATTTGAAATGTATTATGTCTGAAAAATTTTACTATACTCAAACCCACCTCTCGGACGAAAAGCGTGGCGTATAAACGATTAGGTATATCTCTCGTTACAACCACATTTCCCAAAATAACATTTTTCACCGTGAATATCGACGAATATCGAAAAAAACTCGTTTAATACTTCTACATAATTCTCGAACACCTCGATCGTAGCATAGAAAGCTCTACTCCCTCCAAACGTACCGTGACACGTTATCAAAAAAACGTCACACGTCTTGGAAATCATATCTTTTTGTTCTCCTTCGATGGACGAGCCTATGCAATGAAAACACTATTATACACCGTTTCTCTCTAGCTTACCTTTATAAGCGATCTCTAACGATCAAGTATATACGATGTATGTATGAACACACACACACACACAGAGACACAAACACACAGCAAGTCGATGAAAACGACGATTCCATGGATGAGAATCGTCTCCGCAGTTTGTTATTCGATGTACATGTTTCTTGATTTATTTCTCCCCCTCGACGATCGCAGAGCGTACTGTAAATAACGACACATATCCGCATTTTGTTCACTTGTACATTTCTAATGCAAAGTGCCTGTGTAACCACGCGTTCTATGTGTGCATAATGATTAACTTCGTGTTCTGTTTCATATTTTCCTTTTTTTCTTTCAGTATCTTCTATATATACATATATATATATACATATTTTTTTATTTTTTATTTTTTTGGTTCTTTTAATTGTATACACTTGTGCAAGCATTGTTCAGCGAGCACTCAACTCTCTGTTTTGTGCATATTAAATACGCATTTTATCCCAGCGGCGAGGAGGATTCGTTTGCATACCGGAACGAATCGCAGAATTGTTGTTTGTCGTATCGATGTTGGTTTCGTGTATGCACTTGCTGTTGGAAAGCTTGTCGCAGGCAAAAAATCGTGCAATTTTTTTTTTTTTTTTAAATAGTGCCGATACTTTATGGTTCCACCCTTGCATATTGTATACTTTCGTGTTTTTTTTTATTTTTGTTGTTTTTCCACCTGCCATCCATCCGTGTCGTTGGCATGTCAAGCTTGCTTGCGCCCCATTTTTATTTGCACGTCACGTAAACTGTACTCCACGATCCCCTCTTCTTTTTTTTTTTTTTCTGTTCTCGAACGATTTGACTTTTTCTGAATACATAGAATACGTTACATTTTACAGCTGGTTTTCTCTGAGGAATTCTACGATTATTGGATATAGATGTGTTTCGCTACTTTTTCACTGTCATCGAAGGGACTTCAGTCTACTTTGGCCGATGTAAAGAAATTTTTCTGTTACTTACTGAATTTGTTTAGCCGCTGCTGAAACTGTAGTTTGCGTACGGTGATTGTAAGTATGCGTTGTTTTAGATAGGGTGAGGTAGATATAGAGAGAAATATAGACGTCAAGATACATCTTTATCATTTTTAGTCACATGGTGTAAAATATTTACAATTAATGCAAGCTTCACTTCTATTTAAAATAGAATACCGTAGAATATTAGAAGTAAAGAATTACAGTTTCAGAAGAAAACAGAACAGGAATTTTAACTCTTCCTTCGAGCGTGATCTCATTTATTATTCTAAACAGGAAGAGCTCTTAACAGGCTGTAAAATCCTGCGCGCATGTCGAATTCCAAATACGCATGTGTCTGCGTTGAAACTTATCAATTCAGCCAAGGTAGACGAGTCATCGAAGTATACTACTCTGCAAGACTTAAAAAAAAAAAAAAAATAAAAACAGAGAGAGAAAATATAAATCGTGATTAAACGAAAACGTTGCATATTTTCCAGACGACGAAGACGCCCAAGTGTCGGCGGTTTAAAACGGTCCACGACGCGTACGAGGAGTTCCTGGCCCATTCTTATGCTTCATTTCCACGGCAGATTGTCATTTCGCGCGACCAAGAGGAAGGAACTACGCTTCGTCGTCGTACTAACGTGCCACGTGTTGGACGATTCTCGTAGGAAAGGAACGAGGGAGAAAGAACTCGCGCGAAACTGTGCACACCTTTTTGTTGAAAAAGAGAGTCACTCGTGTGACACACTCGAGGCACACACACACACACACAGTGTTCTATCGAGAGAAAAAAGAAAAAACGAAAAAAAAAGAAGAGGAACAGCGACGAACGAAGGTGAAAAAGTTCATCGACACACGCATATAGTGGTTTCGATGCGAGAATTTCGAGAGCTTCGATTTGTCACATCGTCGTTTCGAGGAGCTCCTTTTGAAGAAGAACGCGCTTCGGGGAAGAGAAACTGTGAGAAGCGCTCGTCTTCCAGATATCATAAAAACTATGAAAAAGGAAAAAAACAAAGGAGAGGAACAGAGGAGAAGACGTTTAGAGAATCTCAAGAGCTACGCCCGTCAGGATACTACGAAAGCACCAGTTAAAAAAAGAATAATACCGAGGAACATACACACGATGATTTATAAGAGAAGGAGGATATTTGATGTGAAGCAAGCGTGAGAGAGAGAGAGAGAGAGAGAGAGGAGGAGGAAAATGCAGAACGAAGAACGAACATAAAGTAAAATACATTTGTATCAGACTGATTATGGAGGCGAAGATGGTCCGATACAGAGGTGCCACGTCAAGTTTCACGTAGCGGCTACTCAGAGAGAGAAAGAGAGACTAGGCGCGAGAAATTACGGTCATAAGTAATAATTCTCTATAAATGTGTAATAAAATCGAGTCCAAAGATGTTATATATACCGCGTAATCGTCGCAGGGAGTACGAATGACGGCGTGTCCTGTATTATATTACTTTTTAGGCTAACCCCCGAACGCCCCAGAGTAGCTTAAGTATACGTTTTTTGGTGTACATAGCGTGTAGCGTTTAATGTAGCCTGTAACGGAGAGCAAGAATGATACGTATGAATGCCTGGTGTATGTGTAATAATGTACGTGTGTATGTGAGAGATAACGAGAGATAGAGAATTCAGTGTGGAAAGCGAACGAACCGGATACACATGCAGATCCAACGTCTCGATTATTCTCTCCTTCTTTTATTTTTCTTCTGAATTTTCTTATAACACATCGGCGATCCCTGTGTCGGCGCTGAGATGATTTTCAGGATTTTCCTCCATCATGTTTCAAGCTACGTGTATTTTTGTTTTTTGCTTTTGTTTTTTTTTATTGGTCAGTTTTTGTTTTAAAAGAGAAATAATTACGTACGCGTTCTTTCACCGCTTTCGAGTAATTTTCTTTCGCTTGTTGTATTAAACGTGTGTGAATGTCGCATACGCGTGTAACGAGAGAACAAGTTAATAATCGTCGTTATCGATGGCGTTTAGGGGAGACCCGATATTTTACGGCTTCGATCTGTGTGTATGGAAAAGTTTTACAGTTGACGCGATCATAAGTACAAAGTATTTTTCGAGGGACTAACGAGAAAAGCGAGCGGCGAGTTTTTTGCGAAAAAGCTGTGTCATAGGAAGAGTGTATCACCGTTCCTGGGCTTTTGAAATTCTTTTTAGAGCGTTTATCCGCGGTGTACGAGTGAGCTTGTAGCGCTCGTAGCGTTGTTCCAGCGTCTAATATTATCTTGCGCGTGTGTGTATGAGTGAGCGAGAGTGAGAATGAGTGGGAATACGCACGAAAGGAATAGAGAGAGAAAGAGAAGAAATTCGAAGTAAACATGATACTTGAAAAAAATCAACGCGCGAACGAGTACGATTGAGAGAGAGAGAGAGAGAGAGAGTGTGTGTGTGTGTCTGTGTGAAAGAAAGGAAGAAAACAAATATAACAACAAGGTATTAAGCGTTTCAGGAAGGAAATTGAGAGGATATAATAATCGATTTGCATCGCGTATGCTCAACTTATTTTTACCGAGGTAATTAATTATTAATCGAAAAACGAATTTTAGATCTGCTGTAACTTATATTTCTCGACCTTCTCGGATTCGATCTATCGTTATCGAAGGATAATATTACGAAGCACCGAAGCGCATTCGTCGATAACTAATATTTTCCGAAATTTTATCAGTATCACGGTACTTTTAGTTTTAGAAAAGAGAAAGGGAGTTTAAACGAGTAAAAACCGACTCTTTCGAGCCTCTGTCCGGAAGGGAAGAGTGAGAGAGAACGGGATAGATTCCCACTAAAAGGCGAGAAGATTCGTTTAAAAAAGAAAAATCGTCGTGAAATCGCGTGTCTCGTCGACAAGCCGCGACTGGTTATCAAATATTCGCCGAGTAAAACAATGGGTATTTCACGCTCAACACATATGCGCCGTTCTGTGAAACAGAATTCCACGATCCAAACTTTTGTTCATTCTTGCACGAGCCTCGCGAGTCCCTTGTCGACGATATATATCGAATATAGGAAACGCGGTCGTATCAGGGCAGAGAGAGAGGGCCTAACTTCCAAGGCATCTCATTTCGCGACGAACGATCTGCCAAAACGTGCGCGGAAAGCGAGCAACAGTCTCGAGGATTAACACGGTGCTTCCTCTTCTTTTATTCCCCTCTTATCGAGTCCCAATGAAACGTTTGAAATTCATTGAAAGAAAGAAATTCGTTGAAATTTTCGAGCGTGTCATGGAAATATTATATCGACATTCCACGTTGTTGCATCCAGTCGTGAATTTTTATGCTTCCTAAATGCAACAGATAGAGCTCTCAGACGTTAAGTAATTAATATACTGTTTAGGCCTCTACGTCAATTCCCGTTGAATTAACGCGCGGTCCTGCGTATTGTGCCCGAAGTCGAAGGACCACCAGAGTTTTTCTCACAATTCAGTGCTTTCCTCGAGCACTTCCGCTGGCAAATAGCAACCTTGCATTGATGCTTCGGTACTTCCCAGTCCGTTTAGAACCTAGTTGAACTCTGACCTCCACATCAGCTCTCCATACTCACAATCCAATCCCGGTTCCACATTCTCCTCGATCTCTGTGAGCTTGTCTCGCTTCTTGAGGTCAAACAACCCCTTACTTCACATAGATTCTGGAAAAACAGGCGCTGCTTCCGCTAATTTAGCTCCGCGATGCTCTCTCTCCGGGTCTTGATAGTTGAATTTCTACCATCTGAACGACTCGTTCCTGTTCTAGGATCCTTTTCTCCGGCGCCTCACCTGCGGCTTTTCCCGTACTCTTCATCCTGGGTATATCCATGATCGCGAAACCTGTTTCGCGACCTAGATAATGCTGTTGTGCGCTCGTTACCGGTTGATCCTCAGCTTCTCGGAGTAAGACAGAGAACACGTTAGCGCGCAACACTGTCATCGTCCTTTTTGGTATCACTGTCGTCCGCAGCACCTTCCATGCGCAGTCCTTCACTCACACTTGCTTCCCTTCTCAATCCAGGTCATTCCACGAACCACCCTCCACTCCTTTGGATACTCGACCAGCAACGTTAAACTGTCTACCCTGTGGTATCGAAGTTGGGACTGATACGTCAACCTCCAGCCCATCAAACACATCTCAACACAGAGGACCGTCCTCTTGGCCAAACTGGGACCAGCTGCCGAAAGTCCACCTTTCGGTCACTCAGTGTTTACGATTGAACGCCACCTCAGTGTCCTTAGCCTCTTAAAAGTGCTCCTGTTCAACTCCATCCTCCAATTGACGTCCCAAGAGTGTCTTGCCAGCGGTGTGAGGAAGTGCTCCACGAACCATCGCGCTGTTCCCCTCTGGTCAGCAGAAGACCTCCTTTCCAGACCTTGGCTTCTGAACCGAACGCTAACAACAGTGAAAATTTCTTTCAATTTAAATCCTTATAAATCCATCGCCTTCTGAACGAGGTACGCTAGTGTCCTTTACTAATACACGCATTCTGAAAAGAAAAAAAGACACCAATCATGCTGAGCACCGTGTTGATCCTCGGCAACGCTCGATCCGCGTCGAAGGATCGAGAACGTAGGTCGACCGAACGATCGCTCGGTTTCACGCGGATCCAGCGGCGGCGACATTTACTGCATATTCATATTAATATCTCTTTGTACATATCCTTTAATGACTTTTAAATATTATTATTAATCGAACGTTCTCGAAGGAAGTGTTTGATAATGGCGAGCGTTGTGTCCAGCAGCATTTAAGAGAATATTCGATCACAAGGTTCTTCGTAAACTCGAGCGTTAGAAGGAAGAAACGAACGAGATACAGGCAGGAAAACGATTTACCCCCTTTCTTCCCTTTTCAAATCGAACGTGTGTCATCGTCTCTCCCCCATTATCCCTTTGCGTTTCCTCTTCGAAACGTCTGTTCGAGCAAAAATCTTCCTGTCCGTGGATTCTCCTTTCCCCTTGTTCGTTTTTTTCGCATCTTTGGCGGTTCAAGAACACACACACACACGGTCCATTCCAAGGAGCATTTACGCCTTTGCTAATTTGCGCGACATCGCGGTTCCATTGCTTTCGAGAATTAGTCGAGAATCGCGAACCGGTTTCTAGTATTCCCCTGTAAAATTCTAAATTGAACGGCGACGCTGAGCAGCAAGTGTGTAACTCAGGTCGAAAATAATATCTCAGAAGAATGGCGACGATATATTTCAAACTGAATTAGAAAGAAAAAAAAAAAATGGAAATCGCTAGAAATAACGATCGAAAGCGAGTGGAATCGTCGACGCGCGTGAAGACGATTGTTCAAAAGTCTCAAAGATTAGTCTTGAATTGCTGAAGCTCGAGAGAGACACCCTCCTTCTTCCCTTAATTTTAAAACGAAACGATCCACCTTGTCGTAGAGTCTGTGTAATGCGAGTGTGTGAGAATGTTTATCTGAAAAAACGAGAGAGAGAGAGAGAGAGCTAGAGAGATG